CAGTCGTTTTCGAGGCAGAGCAAATGCACGTTTGTTGTGCCAGATTAGGAAGCAGTCAGCCAGTTAAAATCTCCGATTTCCCCCCACAGAGTCTGGGGTTGCAGCGGTGAGGGAGCCATACGCCGCGGCTGGCTCGTGGGCACTCCGTTTCTTGCTCACTGTATTACTTAATAAAGTCTCAATCAAAACAAACACTCATAGAAACCACTGATGATAAAGTGAACGACAAGGATGATGGTGCAGTCTGAACAAGGGAACTCTGCACTGGGAAGAAAAAAAACAAAACCTTATAGGATTAAAAAGTTGACTTTAAATGCAAAACATACTGAAACATTTTGAAATCAAAATTGTTGTGTATATAATATTTCGGTTTTCTGTGCCAGCTTTAATTCAATAAGTCATCCATCTGGGGAAAACAAAAAGCAAGAGGTAACTTCATATTTAACCATGAAATCTAATTTCCGTTCGAAATGCCAAAATTAAAACTTTATGAATGTCTCTGTGGAACATACTCCAGAAATACTTCCTTTCTTGTAAGCCAGTGTATCCAGCAGATAATCTCCAGAGGCCTTTTGCTTTCTTACGGGTTTTGCTGGTGGATAGTTTGCTGCAGCTTTTTCATCAGTCCAGCTTTGAAGGGATTTTTTGTGCACTCTGTCACACTTTCAATCATTTGTTTTGTGGTGATTCTCCTTAACCAAGGGTTGCTCATGCTTATCTTTATTAAAGCGCCATGCGTCGCTCAGTTTGAACCCTCATTTTTCATTCTGCCTGTTTCACCTCCGTTGGCGTCCTGCTTGCTGCATCTAGAAGGCTTGTATGGATGCAACGCGTACACCGCCGTCCTTTAGACAAAACATTCACAAACACACAAACTCTTTGAAGTTCGATTTTTCACAAGTTTTATTTGTGGTGCTGTGCAACAGGGAAGTTCAGATATCAGAGATGAGAAGCCATCATATGGTAGCATTTATGTTGTTAGCACAGCAAATCATAAACACTCACAAATAGCAGGCAGATGCAGGAGTTCAGTCATTTCGAGAGTCAGCCAAACGACGCAACGCGCGCACACAAACAGCACGAGAGACGCATTTTATGAATGAAAACCATAAAAACAGGGACGCAAACATGTCCCATCCTACATAAATGCATGCTTGTAAACATGTGCAGGTTACATGCATACGTCCATAAGATAAACAAATTGCTGTGGGTGGTCTGGATTCCCACTTGTGTCGCAGAGCAGCGCCCCGTACGTAAAAACTGTTTTTCGGATGCTGCATGTTGGGACAGGGAAATGTTGTCTTATCTATGCATGCCTTTGCTGTTGCCCTCTTTACTTCAGCATCAGACTCACCTGAAAGGGGGCCACCTGTGGATGCCGTGATGGCATTCTGAGAAATACTTTGGTTCCGGTGGTGGAAATTACATTTTCAATATATTTAAAAAAAAACATAAATAATTCAAGTGAATATTTAAAATTATATCATATCTGCAGACTAGGCAACAAACTGCTGGGGCTGCATGACAATGTCAATTCACCATTAATCTACTTCCTCTGTATGCAGTATCATATCCCAAAGAACTGCTAATTATGTAAATACCTTGCTCTCAGGCTCAGTAGTGTTTAATGCAGCATAAATATATATATATATGTCTGCTATAAACTCCAGTACAGAAAGGCTTGAACACACTTTAATTATTTGTTTATTTATTACAAGTCATATTGTTCACCAATGGCAGGTTTTCCTGATATTGTGTAGCTTTACACTGTGCCATATAACTACTAAATTGTATTTTATTCTAATTCTATGCTAAAAAACCAAAACGAGTGTTTTGAAAATGTGAAGTGGAACTGAAAAGATATCAGGTTTGAAGTTGTTGCAAAATAAAAAAAAAATCTTAAAAATGGGGCAATTTCTCTTTATTTTGATACCCCTAAATGCATTAAAATTCAACCAAATGTCTTCAGAAATCCTCTAATTAGTGTATTTTAGTCCCAGTATAAATACAGCTGCTTTGTGAAGAACTTAGAAAATGTCAGTGAACAAACTGCATAATTGAGACCAACAAGCACAGCAGACAGGTCAGGAACAAAGTTGTGGAGACTTTTGAAGCAGCAATAGATTATACAACAATATCCCAAGCTTTGAACATACTGCAGTGCACAGTTCAACACAAAAACCAATGGGAGTATACCAAGAAAGAGCTCCGTAGTTCAGGTTGCCAGACCTGTGGATAGGATCTTAAACACTTTATCCCCACAGTCTCACATGGTGTTGGCAGCAGTATGCGTCCAGAAATTGGAAGAAAGTGCTTTCACCAGTTAAGTAGGAATTTACCTTTTTACTCAATGTGCAAAATATGAGTGTTTCCCAACCCTGGTCCTCATGACACACTGTCCTGTATGTTTTAGTTTTCTTTAAAACTCCTGATTCAGATAATCCAGTTCAGCAAATTCCGATTAATCAGACGTCAATTGAAATCAGCTGAGCTGAAGCAAGGAGACACCTAAAACATGCAGGACCAGGGTTGGGAAACAGTATTCTAGCACAATATACTCAACACAGCATTTCATCATTACCTCTTTGGAGGATAGTAGGAGGTAAATGCAGGAAAGAAAACCTGTTAGAGGATGCAAAAATCTTGAGACGGGGGGGAAATTCCAGCATTCCTGTCAAAGTCTAAGCCTAATTGAGGATCTATGGCAGACTGAAATTGATGTTAGCACACACTCTTGGTCTAATCAGATGTTGCTTGAGATCATTTTCAGAAGAGAATGGCTGAAAACTTTAGTTTTTAGATGTGCAAGGCTGATAGAGAAACCCAAAGGATTTCCATCTGCGCTGACTCAAGTTGGGGATGGGATGGTGACTACGACGGCATGCCATACTTTTCAGATTTTATTTGTAAAAAAAACATTTAAACCATTTCACAAATATGCACAAATATGCTGTACTGTGTTTCAATTCAAGTCCAAATGAAATACATTAAATATTTTGCTTGTAATGTGACAAAATGTGACACATTAGATGGGTGTAAATACTTTGGCACCACACGTCAAGGGTCAGCGTTGATTCTAGCATAAAGTAGTTCATACTTGGAAAACCTCACCAATCAGATTTACAGTAAACTTTATTCACTTTAATTTGAAATCGAATTTATCATAAAAAGCTAATTTCTCTGCTGCAGCTTTCATTGACAGCACAACCGCTGTCAGGCCGCCAGCAGTGTTTTGACAAAACAGCCTAACAAACTGAATTCCTGAATGATATAACCATAAAAGATCTTAAAAGACACCATAAAGTGCAGAACTGAGTCCGGCTGTCCTTGAGTTTCAGCTTTTGCAGCACTAACCACCACTTGATCTGTCTGTCAAGGCTCATACTAACCAGCAGAAGCCTCCTCTTACACGCAAACAGCAAAAATGTCTTTTTGTCGGCAGTGTGTGGACCATTTATTTGCATGATTGCATGTTTGCGAGGTAACACTTTTGCCTTGATATGTCACCTTTATTTCAGTGTAAGCAAAAAAAAAAAAAAAAAAAAGAAAAAAAGAACCTGTCATTATCCCTTTGTTTTCAGGATTTAGTGTATGATAACTACTTTCTGTTGAGTTGTGACCAGGGAGAGGCTGAATCTAATTTCTTGAAAAAATATCAGGTCATTCTGTTGTATCTATGTCGTCTCCTGTTGGATACTTGGTGCAGAAGAAATAGTTTTTATTATTATTATTCATGCAATCCATCAGAAATTTCACTTAAGTTTTTTTTTTGTTTTTTTCATTTTAACTAAATCAATCTCTGCAAGAGCTGGCACATGTGTTGGGGCTATTTGTCAGATAAATGATGTGGGGAAAAACACTTTTTCACACTTTAAATGAGGTAATGTCATTTTGACCCAACCTTCAACTGATGATGTAGATGATGTGAAGTAGAGGCTTTTAATATTAGGAATATTATTATTCTCCGTAAACGCAGCTGAACAATCCTTGACATAGTTCAAGGAAAGGAGAAAACTGTTCACAGCTGCACCAGGGATTAAACTTAACTAAAAATTTGGTTCTGGTTACAAAACTTGAAGACAACTTGTAGTAATTATGTTATCATAAACAGAAAAAAAAAATCAAAATGAACTAAAAAAAATCCAGACAGCCATCTACAGACTACAAGCTACTAAATTCACAGCTGGTAATGAAAGTTAGATTATTACATTAGAAAATATAAAATGTTGCCACCTAATAGTTGCAGAAATCAGAAATCTCATACAGTGTCTTAGAAAATCTTCATAAACTCATTAAAATTTTATTGTCATGTAACCATAAACTTAGAATTTAGTGGGTTTCTATTTGAGAGACCAACACAAGTTGTGCATGATGTGTGAAGTGGAGGAAAGATTACATTTTGCTTCTATTATTATTATTATTATTATTATTATTATTATTATTATTATTTTCAAATTAAAATCTATACAGCTTGATTTGTACTTATCCTCTGGGTCCATACTTTGTAAAAGTAAATCCTGCTACATTTGCAGCATCCAGTCTTTTAGGGTGTTCACACATCCAGAGATTGAAATTTTTGCACATTTGTCTTTGCAAAATAGATTGAACTTAGTGGGTGTGGTTGGAAAAATATCTGTATAAGTATAGAAAACTACAGTCTATATCCAAATTCTTTCACTTTAAAATTATGCCCTCTGTTGCGTTGGTAGGTCACATAAAATCAAAGTAAAATATAAATCTAATTTTCTTACTGTAATGTGACAAATTGTGAAAAAAGGTCAGGGTTATGAACAGTTTCTTAAGACGCTGTATGGGAACGTCCTGTTTAATGCTTATTGCTGTTAATTCAGCCACAAAATCTCTAAGAAAAGAGGTTATTATACATCTAAAGAACTGCTAATAAGAACAAGGAGGATATATTGTTACCTCACCTTTACAGTGTGCCGTTCAAGTGCACACCAAACTAAAGTGTGTGTGCATGTGTGTGTGTGTGCATGCAGGGGAGAGGAGTGTCCAGTCCCAGGCAGCCCCACAGCTGTTCCCTAATGGTAAATATGTGTTTATCTGGCTCCCCTCTCTCTCTGGGGGTCTGTGGGTGTGGGGAATAGAGCAGTCTAAGTGAGCAGACACTGATGAAGCCCCTCCCCTCAGGACAATGTTGTTGAGAGGGTGGGGGGTGGGGGGAGGGCATCATCCTTCTGACCTTTGACCTCTGGCTCCCCCCCGACCAGCTTCCTTTTCCTCCTGTGAATGCCCTCTCAGTAACAGCCACTGCCTGTGTTAAACCACACCTTTTCCAAACGCAGCTGCAAACAGGGAGCCTGTGACCTGCTGCTGCGGAGAAGTTATATAACCGAGATGTTTCAGATACGCTGCGTTTCATACCGGCACACGGGGAGGCACACAGACATCGCCTTCTAGTCACTCTCACGCCAACACATTTTCTCAGTCAGCCCCAAATGTCAATATATATGCTGATGTCTTTTTATTGTTCTGTGCCACAGGAGTTTTTATGTTATAACTCATGCTGGGACCACAAATGTCAGATTTATTTCAACATACATTTGTTGACTAAAGTTCTTACATTTTTATTTTTAAAAATCTACCTAAATATACAGTTTTCTTCAGTTTTTTTCTTTTTTTTTGACACCTTATCATAAAAAATGATGTAGAATCCCAATACAGATGTGATTAAGTTAAAAAAAGCTATCTGCTTATTCAAGTTTCACCATCCACAGCCACAGCTGATCGCTGCTCCACCTGTAGAATCAAGAAATCACTTAAAAAGACCCCGTCAGAAAACATGAAGTCTGTTAAAAGGTTTCTGAAAGTACCTTTCATGTAAACATATTCTGTGGATTGGAGAGACAAAAGTGGAACTTGCTTCTCGTTGCATACGGTGACAAGGTCGTCTTCGTCATTTCAGTGGAAGCACAAACATGGTGCCGATGATGTGATGGTCCAGGGCTGCTGTGCTGCATCAGGGCTTTGGATGGCTGCCATAACTGATGGAGCAGTGATTACTTCTCTCTTCCAGAAAATCCTGAAAGATAATGTCTGGGCAGCGGTTTGTGACATAAAGGTCAAGAAACTTGTGTTATGCAACAGGAGAAAGCTTCAAAGCGCACTAACAAGTGGAAAGTTTTGGATTGTCAATTAAGGGGCAAATCCTTTTTGGCAGCACTGTGGATTTTAATAATGCCACAAATCCTTCTGGACTTATATCTGTGATTATAAGCTGCCGTTTCATCCATTTGATCCGTTTTAATTTTCTGTTCCTACTTGCTTTCTGTTTTGTTTTCTATTTTTTACTGTTAAAAAAAAAAAAAGAAACGTGGCTTCATATGCCACATTCGCACAAACATTCAAAACTGACCATGTACCAAAATGGTCAGTTTTATACATTTATGACTAAAGTGGATTATGTATTTATCAGGCTTTGGTTTTCACAGCCAGTTAATTTGAAAACATCAAATT